TTCCAGGTGAGGATGTCCTGTCGACCGACGAGCGGCGGGGTGACCAAGATCCTGTCCGGCGCAAATTTGAAGTAGCCGTAGCTCGGTGCAATCCCGCCCGCCGTCACCTGGGTCGCCGACATCGGCGACAATCCGCTTCGTCGTCCTCCGACGTTGCCCTGCGAGGAGCCTGCAGCTGCCGACGACTGCACCCCTCGCGCCTGAACGCCGCCGACTTCATCGGCGTGAAGCACACCTCTCTTCCTCGACGTGCCTCCCGCACTGCTGCCGACTTGACCACCACCGGCGTTGACGCCCACGTCGACGCCGCCTTCGCTGTTCACCGGACGAGGAGAGGCAGGTCGAGAAGGGTGCTCCGTCGCCCACATGGAGCGGAGTCCAGCCTCGACGACCGCCCAGGGCAAGTCGCCATACTCGTTGGCCTCGTGCTTTCTCCTCGCGTTCTCCAGCCGTGCCTCCAGGGTGTCCACCACCCCTGCGTCACCTACGGCTCCTACCATAGTGACTACCGCACAGCTGCCGGCCTCCAACTACGAATTAGGTAAGTGGTGTCTACGTCGACCTGACTGAAAGGTAAGTCGTGTGCCGTCCACGCTCACCGCACCATGCGGAGATTACTTCTACAACGGGAGCTAGACTACGGGCTAGGCACGGGTGCTCGTGTGATCTCTGCGTTCGTTGGTCCTTAGTCGTTTTTCTAGTGCACACACAGCTTGCTAGTTCACAAGGAGAATTGGCAAGAGTTTCACTAGAGAAAGTTGACAACAATGGTACAATGAAGTTGGCATGGCAAGACTACATCAGAGCAAGCATTCAGGTCGGTCGACTGCCAGCGCAGCATGGTCGACCGCGTTCCAGCACGACTTGGTCGACCGCGCTCCAGCAGTGCAAAGTCAACGGCGTGCCAATGTCGCAGGTTGACCGCGTGCCAGCGCTGCTCACGCAGAACAGCAGTGCACCCGCTTCGCAGGTGCTCGCAGATGACTGGCGGGCTGAGCCTCGTCACCTGCACAACGCACACACCAAGTCATCCTCGTGCTGACGACTCCACCTGATCCGCCATGTCGACCTCGGGATACCACCCCCGAGGTCGGGCTCGCCAACTTCGCCTGGGCGACCGTCGCACTCCTCCGCAGAACCTCGTCACCCAGGTAACTTGGTCGACCGGGCAACCACGTCGACCAGCAGCTCCCGTACATGCCCGTCGACCTCCCAAGTCGACGGCCACCTCCAAGTCGACCTCACCAGGTCGACCACGGCCCTAGGTCGACCAGCTCCAGGTCGACATCACTTCTGGTCGACCAGCTCCGCGTCGACCAACACTCCTGGTCGACCAGCTCTTCGTCGACCAGCGCAGTTGTCGGCCGACCACCCAAGTCGGCTACCCGAAGTCGGCGTCACGAGGTTGACGCCCAGCTACTCGACGCCCAACTGCTCGGCGTCCTGAGTCGAGTTCGATGTCGGCCCCTCCTTCGTCAACCACCAGGTCAGGTCGACCACCAGCAGGTCGACCTGCAGGTCTGGTCAGCCGACCACCCAAGTCGGCTGCCCCCAAGTTGACGTCACCAAGTTGACGTCCTCCGTAGGTCGACCTCCCGGGTCGACCTCCCTGAAGTCGGCGCCACCCTGAAGTCGGCGCCCGTGCAGTGGCCCCCGTGCAGGTCGACCTCCTCGTCAACCAGCTCGCCCACTGCTGCAGGTCGGCTTCTCCCCTCACACCCGACCACGAAGTCGGCTCCGCCCAAGCGAGGACGGGGCCAACACACAACTGCCGTTGACAACAAACGCATCCTGACGTTGGCGAGCTAACATGTTGCGCATAGGCCTATCCTCGCACAGATTCATCGTGGGACGCACAAACAAGCGTCACGTGCTGCGTAGTTGTGCGAACGAGCCCAAAGCAGTTCCTGTGGGTAGGGAATAGGATGTAGTAGGGCACTTTGTTAAGAAATAGTGGTAAAAAAGTCATTCAGACGTTGGCGCAGTGACATGTTGCGCACAGGCCTATCCTTGCACAGGTTCAGACCAACAAACGCACAAACAAGCGTCACGTGCTGCGTAGTTGGACGAACGAGATCAAATCAGTTCTTATAGCAAGGTAATAGGATGAGCTACCTGAATGTATAAAGAAATAGTGATAAAAACAACATCTAAACGTTGAAACGGTGACATGTTGCGCACAGGTCTATCCTTGCACAGATTCAAGCCAGCAAAAGCACAAACATGCGCCACGAGCTGCACAGTTGTGCTAACGAGATGAAGTCAGTTCCTATGGCTAGGTAATAGGGTGTAGTAGAGAACTGTGTGAAGAAATGGTGGTAAAAAGGGCATTCAGACGTTGGCGCAGTGACATGTTGCGCACAGGCCTATCCTTGCACAGTTTCAGGCCAGCAAATGCACAAACATGCACCACGAGCTGCATAGTTGTGCTAACGAGATGAAATCAGTTCCTATGGCTAGGTAATAGGGTGTAGTAGAGAAATGTACGAAGAAATGGTGGTAAAACAGGCATTCAGACGTTGGCGCAGTGACATGTTGCGCACAGCCTATCCTTGTACAGATTCAGGCCAGCAAATGCACAAACATGCACCACGAGCTGCGTAGTTGTGCTAACGAGATGATATCAGTTCCTATGGCTAGGTAATAGGATGTAGTAGAGAACTGTGTGAAGATATAGTGGTAAAAAAGGCATTCAGACGTTGGCGCAGTGACATGTTGCGCGCAGGCCTAGCCTCGCACAGTTTCAGGCCAACAAACGCACAAACATGCGTCACGTTCTGCGTAGTTGTGCTAACGAGATGAAATCAGTTCTTACGGCTAGGGAATAGGATGTAGTAACGAACTTTGTGAAGAAGTAGTGGTAAAAAAACATTTACACGTTGGCGCAGTGACATGTTGCGCACACGCCTATCCTTGCACGGATCCAGACCAGCAAACACACAAACAAACGTCACGTGCTGCGTAGTAGGGCGAACGAGGTCAAACGAGTTCCTGTGGCAACCGAATAGGATGTACTAACTGAATGTGTGAAGAAATAGTGCTAAAAATAACGTTCAAACGTTGAAACGGTGACATGTTGCGCACACACCTATCCTTGCACAGATCCAGACTTGCTAACACACAAACAAACGTCACGTGCTGCGAAGTTGGGCAAACGAGGTCAAACCAGTTCCTATGGCAAGCGAATAGGATGCACTGACTAAATGTGTAAAGAAATAGTGCTAAAAACAACATCCAAATGTTCAAACGGTGACATGTTGCACACGGGCCTATCCTTGCACAGATTCAGACCAGCAAATGCACAAACAAGTGTCATGTGCTGCGTAGTTGGGCGAACGAGGTCAAACTAGTTCCTATGGCAAGCGAATAGGATGTGCTAACGGAATATGTGAAGAAATAGTGCAAAAAACAACATCCAAACGCTGAAACGGTGACATGTTGCGCACATGCCTATCATTGCACAGATTCGGGCCAACAAGCGCACAAACAAGCGCCACGTGCTGCGTAGTTGTGCGAACGAGCCCAAACCAGTTCCTGTGGCTAGGGAATAGGATGTAGTACGGCAGTGTGTGAAAAAATAGTGGTAGAAAAGGCATCCATACGTTGGCGATCTGACATGTTGCGCACAGGCCTAACCTCGCACAGATTGATCGTGGAACGCACAAACATGCGCCTCGTGCTGCGTAGTTGTGCGAACGAGCCCAAACCAGTTCCTACGGCTAGGGAATAGGATGTAGCAGGGCACTGTGCGAAGAAATAGTGGTAAACAAAACACCCAGGCGTCAAAACAGTGACATGTTGCGCACAGGCCTATCCTTGTACAACTTTCCGTGCTCAAATGTTTGGAATAGCATATCTTCCTATCAGATGCTACAAATGACACCAAATATTTCTCAACACGCTCAGAATATAGTAAATGCTTGAATGATAAAGTGTCATAAACAACATAAATACGAGTTTCATGGCTTATGAAATATATCCAATGCTCTCAGTAGAGTCACTAGGGTATATATTTTAACAGTCAGTGGTACGCGACATTGGATCGCCAACTTTTGCTGCTAGGGAATAGAATGTTCCCTAGCCACAGGAACTGGTTTGGGGTGCAACACTAATTATCAATGCAATGAAATTTCCTAAATTACGTCATTCACAATCACGTCATTCACGCGACCCACATTGAGGCTCCGCAACCGGTTTGTATGTTGGTTGAAAATTAACTGATTAGGCGTGTGTGTAATCAAAGGGATCAATAGCCTGAGTAGGTAACAAAATTATTTAGTAGGTATAATTGGTTACAAACTATGCAGTTACTTTAATTTATACCAAACACTTCTAACCCAAAACTTCCTAGCGGGATTAGGTCTCGAAAGAATCCTTGCTCCGGAACCTGTGATCGGACGAAATGGGCGATTTTAAAACAGGAAAGCAAACAAAGCTGAGTCATTTCGCTAACAGCAGCTATCCCGTAGGTATGAATCGAGATCCAATAAATTTCGTCCACGCAAGCTGCACGCCAACTCACGCTTTCGTGACCCCCCCTATTCCCGAAGCGCCCACGCTGAAAGCAACTCAAGGGTAGGTTTGGCGCAACTTCGAGTAGAGCTGCGATGAAGTACCTGAAACAAAACCTACCCCTCCAAACCCCCTGTTTTTCCGATGGGGGTCGGCCAAGGAGGTGATCGACGCGTTCGTGCAGTCACTGAGCAGCGACTCGGGCAGCCAGGGCAGCAGCACGGACGCGAGTGTGAAGGCGTGGTGGGCCATCACGGCGGCGTACTACCTGTCTGGCTCCAGCGGGAAGCAGAACGTGAGCTCCAAGGTGAGAAATGGCTGGCTCGACCTGTGATGCATTGATCTGGAAGGGATGACTCAAGGCCTCACGGGGAGCAAGTCACTCGCTCCCCGTGTCCTCGGCTGTTCATCTGCGTCTTCATTCATTCCGCCTTGCGCGACCTCATCCATTCATTCCCTTGTGCACGCCCTCGTGGTGTCATTTGCAGGTTCGTCTCGCGGGAACTGTGAACGACAACTATTCACGCGGCAAGAAGCTGTCGGACGCAGACGTGCTCACCAGTATGTACCGCTCCCCACCTCTCTCTCTGCTCGGCCCCTCTCTGTGTGTGTGCTGCTTATTCCAGTGCACCTCGCATGCGTTGATTCCGTCTTCCTTGATTAAACCTGCTCACACCCTCGAGTGCATGCACGCGCACTGTCTCACCCCTCCTCTCCATGCTCTCCTCCCTGTGCGTCCACTTCACCGCCCTGTGCAGTTGTGAAGAGCAAGGTGGGGGTGGGCAAGCCGTTGGCGCTGGACCCGCACGGCATCTCCGTGGTGCTGCCCAGCGCTGACGTCACGCTGCCAGGCTTCTGCTCGCAGTTCTGCGGCTGGCACACACAGGCCTCCCTCAACTCCACGCCTCTGCGCTTCGCCTTTGTGGGCCACCATGGGCAGTGCCCCAGCGATTGCGGGGTAAAGAGCACGTCAACCAACGGCAAGCCTGCCATCGACGCCACCATCACCACGCTCGCGCATGAGCTCACCGAAGCTGCCACCGACCCCGACCCGTATTCCGGGTGGTCTGACGACGAGGAAGAGGAGAACGCGGACAAGTGCCCGTGGGACTTTGGCAGCACCAAGACTGGATCACTGCAGAATGGGCAGAGGTACGAGTACAACGTGGTGGGGCTGAATGGCATGAGGTTCCTCGTGCAGCTCAACTGGGACCGCGTCAAGAGCAAGTGCGTCCTGCAAAACGCCCTGCCCGCTGACAGTGGCAGCGGCGGGGGCACGCCATCCCCTCCCCCCCCACCTCCCTCGGCTGGAGGCAGTGTGAAGATGAAGTGCGACTGCAACTGTGCGAGTGCCAGCAACTCCATGAGCTGCCAGTGCTCCTGCACCAAGATAAGAGCATGCTCCTCTATCTAGAGCACAACTCTTATTGCCCTTGGTATATGTACACCCTAAACGCCTTGAGTATTATAAGCACAACCGCCCTTGAGTATTTATAAATACAACAAATGCAACAAATACAACAAATGAAAACATTCTCCCTGACCAATTGTCTACAAAATTTGACACATATTAATTTCACTAATACAAGGAATATTTATACATCTAAGTTATCCAATCCTCATCCTCAGCCATGGCGATGTCATCCAGGTCGGCCTCTTTATCCGTCCCTGGTTCCTCCATGTTATTGCTTTTGCATCCATATGTTGCAAGATCATCTATCACATCCACTTCCACAAGCGGTGAGTTCTGCTTGTGCTGCAGGCAGAGGTCGTCCCGGGACCCATCCAGGGCGTTGCGAATGCCACATGTGAAAAACGCCAATTGTATCGGGGTCTGCATCATGGCCTTCCATGATGATGCCTGCATATCATAAACAAGAGGCATTAGTACAGGGGGGTAAAGGAATCCCAAAATAACAATCACTTGAAAGGGATGTCAAACTATATATATGTGTTAGTTCTGTGTAGGCTATAATGGGGTAGCCCATATGGGGTACAACCCAAATTAGGGTTTGCTACTTGTATCCATCCTGCTGCTAGTTCAACTCATTCGTTCTTTCTAACATGGTTTCAGAGCAGGTCCTAGCCTAGGACCGATCTCTTAGGGCCCACCGAGTAGCGCTACCCCACCCGTCGCGCCACTGTGAGAGCGTTGCCCTGCCCTGCCCTGCCCTGCCCTGCTCTGCCCTGCCCTGCCCTGCCCTGCCCTGCCCTGCCCTGCCCTGCCCTGCCCTGCCCTGCCCTGCCCTGCCCTGCCCTGCCCTGCCCTGCCCTGCCCTGCCCTGCCCTGCCCTGCCCTGCCCTGCCCTGCCCTGCCCTGCCCTGCCCTGCGCCGCCCGCTGCAGCGCGCATTGCTTTTGCCAGCGCGCCGCCTGCTGCAGCGCGCCCTGCTGAGTCGCGCGCCACCTGCTGCAGCGCGCCCTGCCCTGCCTGCGCGTCGCGTCGCGTCGCCGCGCCTGCCCTGCCCGCGCGCCGCGCCGCGTGCCTCTGCCCTGCGCGTCGCCCGCCGTCGCGTGCCGTGCCCTGCCCGCGCGTCGCGCCGCCTCGCGCCCTACCTGCGCGTCGCGTGCCGTCGCGCGCCCTGCCCTGCCCGCGCGTCGCGCCACCGCGCGCCCTGCCTGCGCGTCGCCCGCCATCGCGCGCCCTGCCCTGCCCGCGCGTCGCGTCGCCGCGCCTGCCCTGCCCGCGAGTCGCGCCGCCGCGCGCCTCTGCCCTGCCCGCGAGCCGTGCTGCCGCGCGCCTCTGCACTGCCCGCGCGCCGCGCACCGCGCCCTGCCTAGCGCCCTGCCCTGCCCGCGCGCCGAGCCGCTGCACGCCTAGCCCTGCCTGGGTGCTGCTGTGCTGCTAGCGCGCCCGTCCGATCTGCCCGTTATGGCTACGCTCAGTGTCCTTACGTTCGATCCGGAGGGCCGCCTGATAGAGTTCGATGCGTGGCTCGACGACCTACAGTTGTTCTTACTGAGCAATTCCAAGGACGGAGTCTTACTGTTTGACCTCACGTCTGGCGCCTCTCCCGCCCCTGCCGCCTCAGCTGACAGTACGACTCGCTCACAGTGGCTTACTCGTGACGCTGCTGCTCACTTAGCCGTTTGCAACCACCTGCCGTTAGCCGAACGCGCTCACTTCGGACAGCACAAGACAGCGAAAGCATTGTACGATGCTGTAGTCGCTCGTTACTCCTCCCCGACCACTGCTGCTCTAGGCCCCCTTCTCCTGCCCTACCTGTTCCCAGAGCTGTCCGCCTTTGCCCCAGTAGCCGACCTAGTCACTCACCTCTGCACTAGTGACACTCGCTACCGTGCTGCGCTCCCCGCCGAGTTTCTCACCAAGAACCCCCCCCCATGTACATCACGCTCTACTTCATAGTCACCCGCCTCCCAGACTCTCTTACTGCAGTCAGGGACCTCCTCCTAGCACTTGACCCCACCGACCTCATTGTCGACCTGCTCGAGAAGCACCTCCTAGCAGCTGAGACTAGCATAGTTGCTGTAGGCGCTTCTCGTGACACTCCTCGCACCCCCTTCTTTGAGGGGTGTTCACCCTCCCCCCTTCTCCCCTCAGTCGCCTCTGCTGCAGCTGTTGACTACCTTCGTGCTGAGGAGGTAGGAGCTGCGTCTGCCGCTAATGGGAGGCGCCGCAACGGCAAGGGCAGGGGAGGCAGGAGCGGTGGGGGTGGTAGAGGTGGAGGCGGTGGTGGGGGCGGTGGAGGCGGTGGAGGGGGCGGCGGTGGAGGAGGTAGTGGTGGAGGGGGCGGAGGGGCAGGTGGCGGCGGTGGTGGCGGCAGTGGGAGTGGTGGAGGCAGCGGTGGTGGCGGCAGTGGTGGCGGCAGTGGGGGTGGAGGCGGAGGTAGTGGTGGCGGCAGGGGTGGTACCAGCCAGAGGGGAGGCCTTGGAGGTGGCCAGAGGCAGCAGCAGCGTCAGCCCCTTTTCGTCTCAGGAGCTCCGTGAGTGGTTTGCTCAGCGTGGGGCGGCTGGGGGTAGTGGTCCCTGCCCGTATGTCATTCGCACAGGTGATCGCACTGGTCAGACATGCGGGAGGTCTCACACTCAGCATCGCTGCTTCTACCGCCTTACCGACGCCTTTCGCGCAGAGTTTCCCGATGCACCTGAGCTCCCCAACTGGGCGGAGCTGCTAAGGCAGAATGTGGATATCTTTGCTCTTGACTTTGATGCTATCCTATCTGCCATGTATGCATTGACTGTTAGTGCTGAGGGTGACTGTTACCTGTGTATGCCGCCAGACCCAGGTATAGAGGCTGCTGCTCTAGGTGCTAGTGAGTCTGCTGCCCTAGGTGCTGGTGAGTCTGCTCTCTCTGGTACAGCGTCTGCTGCGGCCCTGCACACCTTCACGCTTGACTCAGGTGCTTCCCGTTGTTTCTTTCGTGACAGTACCACAGTCACACCGCTCTCTGCACCTGTTGCTGTCTCCTTGGCTGACCCCTCTGGGGGCCCATTCCTTGCACGTTCCTCCACTGTTCTGCCCTGTCCGGCGGTTCCGTCTGGGTCATTGTCAGGTCTCCACCTCCCCTCGTTCTCTACGAACTTGGTGAGCACTGCTGTCCTCCAAGGGGCGGGAGTTGACACCTTCACCCCTAGACGACAGCGTGTGGCGATCTGTACGTGCTCCCGGACCGGTCGCCACCTGGCCACGTTCACCCGTCGGCATGGGTCGAGTCTGTACACACTGACTACTGTGCCTCCTCAGGTAGCTGCGTCTGCGTCTGCGTCAGGTCACCTTGCTGCACCCTCCTCGTGTCGCGCCCTGTCGCACCAGACGCTCCCTTGGCACCACCGTCTTGGTCACCCCTCTGTGGCACGCCTCCGTGGCATGCACTCCCGTCTCCTTGTCTCTGGTCTTCTCAGGTCTCTGCCTCCCCTCCCACCCTCGCCTGCCCCTCCCTGCCTTCCCTGTGTCGAGGGGCGGCAGCGCGCCGCTCCTCACTCCTCCTCGTTCCCCCCGACTGAGGCTCCCCTGCAGACTCTCCACCTGGACGTGTGGGGCCCAGCCCGCGTCCGTGGATAGGGCCACGAGCGGAACTTTCTGCTGGTTGTCGATGAAAACTCGCGTTACACCACGGTCTTCCCCTTGCGCCGCAAAGGGGAGGTCCCTGATGTTCTGATCCCTTGGATCCGCGCTGTTCGTCTCCAGCTCCGCGAGCGGTTCGAGACGGACCTTCCAGTCCTGCGTCTGCACTCTGACAGAGGTGGTGAGTTTTCCTCCGACCTCTTGTGGGCCTTTTGTCGTGCGGAGGGCATTCGCTAGACGTTCACGCTTCCGGCCTCTCCGCAGCAGAATGGGGTTGCTGAGCGCCGCATTGGCTTAGTCATGGAGGTCGCTCGTACCTCCATGATCCATGCGGCTGCCCCACATTTTCTGTGGCCGTTTGCAGTCCAGTACGCTGCGCATCAGCTCAACCTCTGGCCCCGTGTCTCCTTGCCGGAGACCTCGCCCACACTGCGTTGGACGGGGGAGGTTGGCGATGCGTCGGTGTTCCGGGTCTGGGGATGTCGAGCCTTTGTCCGCGATACGTCCGCGGACAAGCTCTCCTCCCGCGCCGTTCCCTATGTCTTCCTTGGCTTTGTCCCTGACACGTCTGGCTGGCTGTTTTACCACCCCACCTCGCGCCGTGTCCTGCCCTCTCAGGACGTCACATTTGACGAGTCGGTTCCCTTTTACCGTCTCTTCCCCTACCGCACTGCCCCTCTCCCCCCCCTCGCCGCTCTTTCTCGCACCAGGTCCTCCTCCGGTAGACCCCCTTCCCCCTCAGGGTCCTGCTCTCTCAGGTGTGTCCCGAGTAGACCCTGTCGAGCCTGTCGAGGTCGCTGTCGACTCTGGTGCTGCTAGGGGTGTTGCGTCTGGGGGTGCTGAGCCTGCGGGTGCGGGGCTTGGGGGTGCTGGGCGTGAGTGTGCGGAGCCTAGGGGTGCTGAGCTTGAGCGTGCGGAGCCTGGGGGTGCTGAGCCTGGGGTTGCTGAGTCTGAGGGTGCGGAGCCTGGGGGTGCTGAGCCTGCGGGTGCGGAGCCTGGGGGTGCTGAGCCTGAGCGTGCGGAGCCTAGAGGTGCTGAGCTTGGGGGTGCTGAGCCCGAGTGTGCTGAGCCTGGAGGCCCTTCGGGTGTCTTGTCACGGCCGGAGTCTCTCTCTCCACTGCAGCTACGCGAGTGGTTTGCTCGGCGCTGGAGCCTCCGGAGTGGTGCTACTGGAGCTGGAGCTGCTTGAGGTACTGGAGCCGCTAGTCCCGGAGGTGCTCGTACTGGAGGTACTGGAGCTGTTGGGGCTGGAGGTACTGCTGGAGCTACTGGAGGTACTTGTGCTGCTGGAGCTGGGGCTGCTGGAGGTACTGGAGCTACTGGAGCTGGAGGTGCTGCTGGAGCTGGAGCTGCTGGAGGTGCTGGAGCTACTGGAGCTGGAGTTGCTGC